AAAAAAAAAATTGAACTGGCAGAACTGTTGATAATTCCAGTTTTAATTTAAGAAAAGCTTAGTTAATTCTAAGTTCACAACTAAGCATTTTCTGCAGCGGTTTGCATTTTTCAGAAATGCAGCACAGTCCATTTAACATGATTTCCTATGGGACAGGTTTACATCTCTGCGCTTTCACTTGGTACATTTTTTGGAAACAGTCAGGGACTTTTTTTTAACGCAAAACGTTGCGTTTTTGGTTCTATAGACTTCAATGGGAATGCTGAAAAAAGCATGTATTGCATTTTTGCTGCATTTTTGCCGCGTTTTTGCTGTGGTTTTTATGCGTTTTTGATGCGGTTTGCATTTTAAAATTTGACTAGCAACAAGAACAATAAAAATAAATCTCATTCTGTTGCTTTATTTATCTGTTGTTTACAGTATTATATTAGGTTACTATTTAAGGCAATGGATTTTAAAACTTACATATACAAAAGATTGTGCCATGTTCCACTGATATCCAATATACATCAATAAAACTTCCAAACAATTTATATATCTCTTCCAAAATTAAACATAAAATCCATGTTGCATCTGTGATAATGCGCTCCTTCAAGTGATGTGGACAAATCAACTATTGCTTGGTTCACCTCTGATGTGTTATCATAACAATCCAGACCTGATAACTCAGGTCTGGGCTAGTACCAGAGACAGGACACAGGTAGCAGCGGCCATGTTATAGGGGGCAGAAAGAACCACGATGCTCATGCAGAAAGAGAGAGAGAGAGTTACTAGCAAGTATACTGGCCGAATCGCTAGCGAGTGTTTGGAGTATATTGTCACAGCGCTTTTTACATCATCTACATGTGAGTGCAATACATTGTATTAATAAATGTTTTAAATAAGGATAAGGCACTAAGTTTTGATTATTTCTCATGGTACATGAACCAATGGAGGAGGATTACTAAAGAAGTGAGGGGATCCAGACCCTTTAGGATAACAATCCCATCCATCCACAGTCCATATAAAGGAGCACAAGCTATATATGACCTCATTTAATGGTTTGGTCATATTTACCAGGTGAGAGCACAACTGGTGAAGGTGCACTAGTGGTTGTTATGATAACACATCAGAGGTGAACCAAATAACAGTTGATTTGTCCACATCACTTGAAAGGCGCACATTATCACAGATGCAAAATGGAAATTATGTTTAATTTCGCAAAAGATATATACATTTTGGAATAGACTTATATGTTTGGAAGTTTTATACACGTATATTGGATATCAGTAGAGCGCTGCACAATCTTTTGTATTTGTATATTGTTGACACATTTGTATGGGTGTGTGTATGGTGCACGCTATCTACTTTTTTCACTTAGTTTGGCACAATTAGTTAATTAGGTGCCATAGCTGCTTGCAAGATTTCATTTATTTTATTATGTATTTTAAAACCTGATGCTACAAGAATTAACATAATTACTTAGTTTTAGTCCCAGTTTACACTGATGCAAAATATATGCAGATTAAATCCAATCTAAAAGGCATAGATTCACAAGTCATCTGAAAAAAACATTGTTTACTATGAAAGCTGTTCACATCTATGCGATTCTGATAAGGTTAAAAAAATGGTCCTGTGCAAGTTTAGTGCAGGTTTGGTGCAAATTCTATCGCCAGCTATGCCAAATCCCATCAGAAATTGCATTAATTCCCATTAGAATAGCACTTGTCACAACAGAAATCACACTGTGAAATCACATCAGATTCAAAGTGTGAACCTAGCCTTAAAGGGGTGTAGTTATAAATTGTTCATTCTGTGCAAATTTAGCAAAAATTAATGATGTTTAGGCTATTTTCCCTTCTCAATGAAGAATGAATGTTCTTTTATTATTTGCAGTGGTAAAATACTGCATTCCAGCCACTACATGGAGCTGAGGCGCATGGGATATACATATACCTTTGTGACAAAAGATATAATTCTAGAGAACGCTAGACAGAATTAGCAAATACAATTAACCAATGGTTGCATTGTTTACTAAGTTTCTCTAAAATTGTTGCATTCTATCTCTTGCTGCAAAGGTATATGCATCTCCTATGCTCCTCTGCTCCATCTAGGGGCCATAATGTGATATTTTACTATTGTAAAAAAAAAAAGAACATTTGTTCAGAAGAGAAAATACAGCATTAATTTTGTCTAATTTGCAAAGAACAACTGTCCTGCCTTCAGCTGGGAATTTTGTTATCCTATCCTGCCTACACTATTAAACTTGGCCACTAGATGGAGCCCAAAATAAATTTACTGTTTTTCAGAAATAAGACTTTTATTAGTTAAAAATATCTTCCATCATCCTTTACTCTAAGAAAAGGAAACAGGTGAATCCTGGGAGCTCAGACTTCATCTTAAGAACTGAGAGAAAGGAACCAGCCATAATTCTATGCAACACATGTCATGGACTGAATTTGCATCCCCTACAGGCAGCATCACAAGTGAACATGGACTTATTGCCATCTACAGCCTAATCATTTCATTGTGCTTGAACATATCATGCTGTCATGACCTGGTTCACCTGCTGGTGGCACTGTGCTTTCTGGGGCAGAAAGCTGGAGTGTTGGTGTCCACCAGCAGGTTTCTCCCAACAGTCAACAGGTTCCAGCAATCAGCTCCACCAGGACCTGCTGGAAGGGTACTCAAGTTCCATTTCTGCTATGGCTCCTTGCTTTAGAGTTTTGGTTGCTCCTGCCTTGTACCCTGTTTACTGTGTTACTGTCAGACTCGCTGGTGCCATTAACGCTTGATCTTGCTTTAGCCTGTATCCACTACCCTGTTGCCTTGTGCCCTGTTCCTCCTTTCTCAGTCTTGATTCCTTCCTTCCCATATGCTCATCCAGGTTTTCCCTGCCTTGCATATTTCACATTTATATATATTTGTATATTTAGTTATTTGTTAGGGTCCCTGCATTTTGGTTTTTCAGTTTTGATTTTCATGCTTTCTCATTGCTGTTGGTGTGTGGTTATTATTCACTGTAAATAAATCTCACTTTGAAGAGAAATATATATACAGTTGCAAGAAAAAGTATGTGAACCCCTTGGGATTACATGGAATTTTGCATGAATTGGGCATAAAATGTGCTCTGAACGTCATCTAAGTCACCACAATAGAAGAACACAGTCTGCTGAACATAATACTACACAAACATTAGATGTTGCCATGGTTTAATTGCACATAACATGTAAACATTCACAGTGCAGGGAGGAAAAAGTATGTGAGGCCCTAGCTTAATGACTTCTCCCAGAGCTAATTGGAGCCAGGAGTGAGCCAACCTTAACTCCAATTAGTGGTATGATATTGGATGTGTTGCTGACAGCTGTCCTTCCCTTAAAAAACACACACCTGTTTTGGGTTTACTGGTTTCAAGAAGCACTGTCTGATGTGAATCATGCCTCGCAGAAAAGAGCTCTCAGAAGAGCTACGATCAAGAATTGTTGACTTGCATGAAGCTGGAAAGGGTTACAAAAGTATCTCCAAAATCCTTGATGTTCATGTGTCCACGGTAAGACAGACTGTCTACAAATGGAGAAAGTTTAGCACTGTTGCTACTCTCCCTGTAAAAATGACTGCAAGAGCACAGCAGCAGAATGCTGCATGAGGTAAAGAAGAATCCCAGAGTGTCAGCTAAAGACCTACAGAAATCTCTGGCACATGCTAACATTTTTGTTGACACATCTACAATAAGGAAAACATTAAACAAGAATGGAGTACATGGGAGGACACCACAGAGGAAGTCATTGCTGTCCAAAAAGAATATTGCAGCTCGTTTGAAGTTTGCAAAAGAGCACCTGGATGTTCCACAGCACTACTGGAAAAATATACTGTGGACAGATGAAACCAAGATTGAGTTGTTTGGGAAGAACACACAACACTATGTGTGGAGAAAAAAAGGCACAGCACACCAACATCAAAACCTCATCCCCACTGTAAAACATGGCGGAGGGAGCATCATGGTTTGGGGCTTCTTTGCTTCCTCAGGGCCTGGATGGATTGTTGTCATTGATGGGAAAATGAATTCCAGAGTTTATCAAGACATTTTGCAGGAAAACGTACGACCATCTGTCCGCCAACTGAAGCTCTGCAGAGGATGGGTGATGCAACCGGACAATGACCCAAAGCATACAAGTAATTCAACAAAACAATGGCTGCAACAGCACAGAATACGCCTTCTGGAGTGGCCCAGTCAGAGTCCTGACCTCAACCCGATTGAAATGCTGTGGCATGACCTTAAGAGAGCGATTCACACCAGACATCCCAAGAATATTGCTACACTGAAACAGTTTTGTAAAGAGGAGTGGTCCAAAATTACTCCAGATCGTTGTGCAGGTCTGATCTGCAACTACAGGAAACGTTTGGTTGAGGTTATTGCTGCCAAAGGAGGGTCAACCAGTTATTAAGTCCTAAGGTTCACATACTTTTTCCTCCCTGCACTGTGTTATGTGCAATTAAACCATAGCAACATCTAATGTTTGTGTAATATTATGTTCAGCAGACTGTGTTCTTCTATTGTTGTGACTTAGATGACGTTCAGAGCACATTTTATGCCCAATTCCTGCAAAACTCTGCATAATCCCAAGGGGTTCACATACTTTTTCTTGCAACTGTATACACTGCTTTGAAAATACATCAGAAAACTTTGAAAAGACATCAGGGAAATGGGTAGCAAGGATAGAACAACAACTGTACTCTGGATAAATGGCTATACACATTTTATTTTCTGAACAGACCCCACGGTGTTATAAAAACACATTACATCCATATTTTAAAATAGTAAAACTATGTGGGGCATTCAACAATCTTAGTTTATAATGAATATACATTATTGTTGTCATTTAAGTCATCATACTGAATCAAAGTAAATATATCTAAAAGTAAATATAAAATAATTAGAAAACACTTGTTCCCATATATACATATTGTAAAGTAACTTAGTATAGTTCACATCCATGCATTTTTAATGGCATTCAACTTACATAGTAAAGTTTTCCTCTAAGAAACAACGGTTACGTAGAAGTCCAGCCCAAAGTTGTACCCCAATTATTCCAAATATAAAGAAGACAAAGAAACACAGAAGGAGTACATTTCCTAACATAGGCAGTGTGTCCAGCAGCAAATTCACCAAGATTCTCATACCTGTGAATGGGAAGAGAGAAAAAAAAGAGCAGAGAGGAGGAAGAAAAGGAGGAATTTCAAGAAGAGAGTAAAAAAAAAAGTATGAGAAAGATGCACAAAGACATCACAATGGAAAGGAAAGTATTCACAAGGAGGGAACAAATATTCATGAAATGGAACAATTTAAATAGTTTTCTCTTTGAAAAATGGATCCCTGCTTCAAAACCTGTTTTGAAATTTAGGGCCTCATTTCTCTACATTACCCGATGCCAGATTTCATTTTATACTGTATATTAGTACAGGATAATCCTGATACTACAGAAAGGAGGCCTGTATAAGGTAAGGAGTTGCAGTCTCAAGCAGGGGTCCAATCTTCTGGAAAAATGGAAGAAAATCCTCTAGATTTTCTGGATGAAAATTAGGCTAAATTATTTTTGAAGTTAAAAAACATTCCTAGATGATCAGTAGGGTAGTGTACATAATATGTTGGCTTTCCTATCACAAATGGGTTTATCTAAATACCCACATGTCCCAACACACGCATACAAGAAAATATCAACCCAGCACATGAAAAGCGATGGAGACACCACAGCACACAAATGGAAAGATCTGTCATTACAACCCACATGTTACAGAATGACGTAAAAGTTAAATCTTGCTGTGCATGCAAAATTTAGGACTCTCATCCATTTGGAATGGATAGGACAGTTCAGAACCTGTTCATTCTGGCTTTTTTTATGAGCATCTATGCAAACCTTCCTGGATCAACTCTTATCTGCAGAATTTCTTTAAAATCCACCTACAGACAATTTTTATAAAGGGTTAGAGCCTTTGTCAAGAGTTATTACTATTTGTGTATCTTCTGAGGACATCTGTCAGGAATACTGGAATCTCACCAATGATGCATTGGGGTTGATTTACCAAAGCAAATATATGGTGCACTGCAAGTGCATTTGCTCCAGAGCTTAGCAAATGACGTAAAGCTTCACTTTGCAAAGAATACCCAATCACATGCAAGGAAAATTAAAAAACAGCATTTTTGCTTGCACATGATAGAATGATGGAAATCATCAGAGCTTCCCCTCAGATCTAGAGCAACTGCACCTGCAATGCACAGTATATTTGCCTGTAGTAAATCAACCCTACTGACTGTGTATCAGTTGAATACATCTAAAAGATACATGTAATAAATATATATTTTTTTTTTTTTTCCTTTCACTCAACTTCCCATATATATATATATATATATATATATATATATATATATATATATATATATATATATATATTACATGATCAAAGGTTTGTGGACACCTGACAATCACACCTACAATATACAAGTTAAATATGCCGTTCCAAAATCATGAGCATTGATAGACAACTGAACAACACTTTGGGGCTTTAACAGATTCCACTGAAAAGAGTGTCTGTGGGAATTTGGCCCATTTAGTAAAAAGAATACTTGTGAAGTCTAGTACTGATGGTGAATGAGAAGATCTGGTACGCAATAGGCATTTGAGTATATCCCAAAGATTTTTAGTAGGGTTGAGGCCAAGGCTCTGTGAAGGCAACACAGGTTCCTCCACACCAAGCTCACCAAACCATATTATTTTGGACCAGACATTTGGGCACAGTCCTAAAACTGTCATCATAAGGTTGGAAGCACACAGTTGTTTAATATTTATTTTTTATGCTGTAACATTAACAACAACCTTCATTGGAAGCACCTGCACTCAATAATTAGGAGGGGGTGTCACATAATTTTTGCCATATACAGGTGCATCTCAATAAATTAGAATATCATCAAAAAGTTAATTTATTTCAGTAATTCAATTCAAAAAGTGAAACTCATACAGTATATTATATAGATTCATTACACACAGAGTGATATATTTCAAGCATTTCTTTCTTTTAATTTTGATGATTATGGCTTACAGCTACTGAAAACCGAAAATTCAGTAACTCAGAAAATTAGAATATTACATAAGACCAATAATAAAAACATTTTTAATACAGAAATGTTGGCTTGCTTAAAAGTATGTCCATGTACAGTATAGTATGCACTCAATACTTAGTTGGTGCTCCTTTTTCGTGAATTACTGGATCAATGCGGTGTAGCACTGCTGAGGTGTTATGGAAGCCCAGGTTGCTTTGATAGTGACCTTCAGTTAGTCTGCATTGTTGGGTCTGGTGTCTCTCATCTTCCTCTTGACAATACCCCATAGATTCTGGGGTTTAGGTCAGGCAAGTTTGCTGGCCACTATGATCATTAAACCAAGTATTGGTACTTTTTGGCAGTGTGGGCAGGTGCCAAGTCCTGCTGGAGAATGAAATCACCATCTCCCAAAGCTGGTTCTCCAAATCATCACTGACTGTTGAAACTTCACACTGGACCTCATGCAACTTGGATTCTGTGGTTCTCTTTCTCCAGATTCTGGGACCTTGATTTCCAAATCAAATGCAAAATTTACTTTCATCTGAAAAGAAGATTTTGGACCACTGAGCAACAGTCCAGTCCTTTTTCTTCTTAGCCCAGGTAAGACGCTTCTGACGTTGTCTCTGGTTCAGGAGTGGCTTGGCACAAGGAATGCAACAGTTGTAGCCCATGTCCTGGATACATCCATGTGTGGTGTCTCTTGAAGCACTGACACCAGCCATAGTCCACTCCTTGTGAATCTCCCCCAAATTCTTGAATGGCTTTTGCTTCATAATCCTCTCAAGGCTGCGGTTATCCCTGTTGCCTGTGCATTTTTTATACCATAATTTTTTCCTTTCACTCAACTTTCTATTAATATGCTTGGATACAGCACTCTGTGAACAGCAAGCTTCTTTAGCAATGACTTTTTGTGACTTACCCTCCTTGTGGAGGGTGTCAATAACTGTCTTCTGAACAACTGTCAATTCAGCAGTCTTCCCTATGATTGTGTAACTTACTAAACCAGACTAAGAGACCATTTAAAGGCTCATGAAACCTTTACAGGTGTTTTGGGTTTATTTACAGCACAGTGGCTAAATGGTTAGCACTTCTGCCAGTAGTAGGGTCGTTGGTTTGAATACTAGCCACGGCACCACCTGCCTGTAGTTTGCATGGTCTCCCTCTGCCTGCACAGGTACTCTGGTTTCCTCTCACACTCCAAAGACATGCTGATAGATAAATTGGCTCCTGTCTAAATTGGCCCTAGTATATGAATATAAGTTAGGAACCTTAGATTGTACACCCATTGAGGGTTATGGACTTATGTGAATGTACAATATATATGTAAAGCGCTGCGTAAATTGATGGTGCTATATAAGTACCTGTAATAATAATATTAGAGTGATTACATTAGATTAGAGTGTGACACTATGGCCCTGATTTACTAATGTGCCCAAGCGCATTTCCGTGGGCTAACGTCTACTTTTTAATAGTGACCGTCTACTTTTAGACGGCAAAGATGTTTACTAAAGAAAGTATCTAACAAGTAGACACAAAAGTGAATTTACTAACCAGGCACAATCCAGAAATCAGTCTAAGAAAGCAGACGTGGTCGAAAGCACGTCTAACACAGCTAAAAATCACTGCAGAAACCTGTTCACATTGAAATTTGCTTTCACAAATATCGGGACTTCACTTTAAACAATAGCTTACATTTCAAAAAAATGTTTTGTGTAAAAAATAGTTTTTTAAAGGAATTCAGGACAGTCAAGAACTAGATGCTTTTCCAGCGTCTATGCACAAATATAAATGCGCATGTGCAGAACACATTTTAGCCATCTGTCGTGGGCGCTTTCTTTGTAGACGCTGTTTAATAGTAATACTCTGTGTGGAGTCCTCTGACAGACGGCACTCGATCGCATCTACTGTGTTTAACAAACAGCACTATTTGTAGCTAGGCATATCTTTATGTATTCTAATTTGATTTCCTTTGTTCTATTGATTCTGTTTTTGTTTCTTATCCTGTTTTTATTTCTTATCCTGTTTTTGTTTCTTACCCTTTATAATTATTTCTGTAATGGTTTTACATATTTTGAAGGTCTAGATAATATATATTTTGATAGCTGAATCTAAAAATAAAGGTCGGCAATTAAAACATTTTTTAAAAAATGGCGTGCGGTCCCCCCATTCATCCATACCAAGCCCTTCGGGTCTGGTATGGATCTTAAGGGGTAACCCCATGCCAAAATGTTAAAAGAAATGGTGTGGGGTCCCCCCCAAAATCCATACCAGACCCTTATCCGAGCATGCAGCCTGGCAGGTCAGGAAAGGGGGGGAGGACGAGCAAGCGCCCCCCCCTGAACCAGATCAGGCCACATGCCCTCAATATGGGGGGTGTTTTGGGGAAGAGGGGCTCCCCCCCAAAGCACCTTGTCCCCATGTTGATGGGGACAAGGGTCTCTTCCCCACAGCCGGTGGTTTTGGGGGTCTGCAGGTGGGGGGCTTATCAGAATCTGGAAGGGGGCCCCGAGATCCTGCCCCCCCCCCCACGTGAATGACTATGGGTACATGGTACCGCTACTCATTCACAAAAAAACAAAGTGTAGTGTAAAAAAAGACAGGTCTTTGACAAGTCCTTTAATAAAAGAAAATCTAAAAGAATGTCCCCCGAAGTAGCTCCTACGTCAATCATGAAGCCCGCCGGCGGCCACCCGAAAAAAAGAAAAAAAAAAAAAGTTTCCGTTCCCGACGATGGCTGCCCAGCCATCTCCTGTGAGCTTGGTTGACAGCTTGACATCATCCGAATGACCCGCCCCATGTGATATCAATGATGTCACATGGGGTGGGGTCATATGCGTGATTTCCCCGGGTGGCCCTGCCCCTTACATATTTAAGAGCTGTCACCCAGCCAACACCAGAGGGCTGGATGCCATCGTCAGGAACGGAACCTTTTTTTTTCTTTTTTTTGGGTCGGCAGCGCCTTACACTGTGATTGACATTGGATCTACTTCGAGGGACATTCTTTGAGATTTTTCTTTTATTAAAGGACTTGTCAAAGACCTTGTCCTGTGTTTTTTTTACACTACACTTTTTGTTTTTTTGTGAATGAGTAGCGGTACCAAGT